CCCCTGTTTAAAAAGTTTGAGGACCTCTGGTTTAGTGACTTGACTTAGTTGGCAGAGCTAACCTGATAAACCTGGTCCCCTGAGAGCAAGACCATTTTTTACTCTCAAGCATTTTATCCTTTATGGAGAACTGCATTTTATTATTTTTCTCAAAAGCAACGCTTATTAAATTGGCTGATTTAAATTTTGTAAACTTATTTATTTTAAAATAATCATTATGCCCTGCATTGTTTTGGGTAATTTGGGTCAAACACATTTGAGCCCGAAGCTACATCAGTTAATTACCTTACTCTCCAGGTCATCTTTTTCTCACTTGCTATTAGAAACATAAGAAGAAAATTATTCTACATAGTCTTTGATATTTTCTCTGTGACAACAATTTTCATGTACAATGTAAATGGCGAGCACCCTAATTAACTGATTATAAACACCTCTTTTCAAAGAGGTCAGGATAATTATCTATTACAATCAAGTAGAGCTTGTTTTATGTTCACCATAGAGTTGACTTCTAAGTTGTGAATATAAAGAAACCTGTAGACTCCAATAAGAAATAGGAGGTCTTGAACTATGCGTAAAACTGGAAGGAAAATCGTTTTCTCTGTTTGACATATAGTACTCACACCCTCTTCCATAAAATGAAAGAGTTCTTTTGTAAATTATGAGCTTTGGAATCTGAACAAGTAAATGAACCCAGGGAGCTGGTTCTCTACACGGAGGGCAGTGTAAGGTGTTGATCTTGAGGTGGCAGGGTCTGGAGTAAGTTGCATACACACTGTCTCTTGCTCTTTTCAAGAGTGCCAGTTACTTCTAACGAGTGAATCCTGTCTTTAAAAGGGTGGAGATCCTCTTGCATTTCTAAACTGTAACTTCTAAAGGTTGGAAAAGAAGAAGCCCAACATTGTAATTGTTCTGCACCCAAAGTCATATAAACTCAATATGCTCTTACGAAGTTTCTTCTCCTCCTTCCCCAGGAATATAAACTCAATATGCTCTTACGAAGTTTCTTCTCCTTCCCCAGGGGGGTGGGGGGAGCATCTGGAACCTTAATGTTACAAGGTACTTTTTGGATAACTGGATTCTTCAGAAAATAAAAAGAAGATATGATATTTTTCCAATTATGTCCACACAGCTGCTAACGGTGTTGAATACAGTGGCCTATTTTTTGCTGAGAAAGTATTCACTAGATTCGCCTTCTAACTGAATGCACAGTGGTCATGTTTTAATCTGGCCTCACCAACTGATTTGATGCAAACCAAAGGCTGTAATAACTGAAGACCACTGAAACATTAATGTCCCTAATTTTATGTTGCTTGCCATTGACAGGATGAAGAATCAATATAATTATTATAGCAGTACTTCTTCTTATGGTACATTGCACACATTTGGGGATAACAATCTTTTATTGTGGCTAAAATGTATAGCCAGTTGCCCATCGTTCTTGCACCATGCATTACTTCAAATGATAACATTTATTGAAATGTAATGCCATTGGGCATAATCGTTAGTTGGGTATATTTATGCTCCAGGGATATTGAAGAAAAATGTACACATGACTTGCTTCTGTACAAATGCTCTATTATGCCTCAAATTAAGGATAAGCTTCACTCTCCAAAAACAAGCCCCTTTCTGTTAGCCATTACTCCACTAGAGGGTAGCAGTGGCAAAAAGAAACATTTCCCTTTCTGTCCTTTTGTCAATTTTATCACCAAGACCCTCAATAATTTGCTTTCTGTGGTTATATTTTTGATCTGACCAATAACTAGTTTTCATGTTTCTAAAGTCTGTTCTGAATGTCATCAGGGTTCTCAACTGGAACACCACCCTGCTCTTAGAAATGTTGACTAGTAAACTTATAATTTGGCCCCATGTATCAATCACATAAAAACGCACCTGAAGGTACAGTTGGCTAGGAGGAAACATATGAGTTTTATGTACAGCATGGCTCTCAGTATCACAAATATTGATGGAAATCCTACTGGGCATTAGACAGTACTTTGGGTGTTGGGGTATTGTTACCACCAAGAAAGGCATAGTGCCTGCTGGTCCTGGGTTTAGAGTTCAGTGTGGAAAGCAAAAACTAAATGCATCATGTCAAGTGTGATGCATGTTATGAAAGAGACAGTACACGGCTATGATGAGAGTGTATAGCACTGAGTTTAATTAGCTACATTACCATAGGATACATTTCTGGTATCTGAACAACGTCCCCATCGCTCATGCATTCTGGCAGCTGAAATAGCCTTTCCAAATCAATAGCTAAATTAGAGGAGGCTGACACTGTGCAATGGTGACAAACCCAGTGATTTAACACATCATTCTATTGCTTTCTACTTCCCTCTGTTGCAATGGTAATGTGAGGGGGTGGGGTGAGGAGGTGACACATTTTTGGAATTTTTCTAAACCATGACATTATGGTAAATTGAGACAATGAGTGCATATTCTGAGCTCAGGTCTATGAACAAATTCTAACAATATCACCCCATTTTAGACTTTCTCAAAAGTGCATAATAGTTACATGCGTGTGTCTGTATGGTTCATTTTTACTGTATATCAGGAAAATGCTGAGTGTATCAAATGTATCATTTCCATTAACTTGCACAAAATATAGTTATCATTATTACTATTATTCCTGTTTTATATATAAGAAAACTGAAGCTTACAGAGATTAAATTGCTCATGGTTATCCTGCAACAAGGGATACAGCTATGATTTAATTCTGTTATATCAGATCCTAAAAGCCTCATTCTGATATGTGGACGCAAGGAGAAAGAGAAATGGCAAAGTCATCAGAAGATTATATGTAAGTTGACTTGTGTGATTTTCACTTAAAAAATGCACATAATGCACATATAACTTTTAAGATATCTCTTTCCAATAATATTTTAGATTAAAAAAATTCTTTCTACTAGTTACTATACTTTTATCTTGGCAATCTGGTGAGCTTCTAAACATTGTATAATGCTAATTTATTTCCCTGAAGATAATTGTTATAATTATTCCTAAAGCTTTCTTTGGTAAAAAGAGAGTTGTTGCAGTTATAGTTATATTTTTAAAACAGTTTATTCAATATTTAAATCTAGAAATAGTTATTTTCACTAAAACCTAATAATGTTGTGTGTTTTTTCCCTAAGTTGCATTCCTTGAAAAATGAGTCCAATCAGAAACTTTACAACCAAAAAGAATCCCATGTTCAAATACTGGAAATCACATTTTTTTTCTTGAGATTCTCAAGGTATATCAGTATATTGAAGGCTCCTATATGAATGTATACGCCAATGCAGAGAGAAATCTGTTTTCTTTTTGCATAGCCCAATGTTTCCCAAATCTATCTTGAGGAGCTAATACTCTATGAAATATATCCTCAGGGACCCGGAAGATATTGCGATATTAGAGACACAAACTAATAGTGTTTGGGATATTTTATGACTTTGGTGAATTAAAGTTTTCAGAGAATACATGGAAGATTCCAATATATCAAGCATGCTCCCCAAATGTGGTGGCCACTTCATCAGGGTGAAGATAGCAGCCAAAGGAATGGTGGGAATTGGGAAATAATGGCCATGCTTAGCAGTAACCAGTAAGGCTTATCAGCATCTATTGTCCCCATTAGAGGACATTCAATTTGGAGACTTGTGGCAGTACCAAGCCTGTCTCAGGCAGGGAAAATATGATAATCCTTGAAGGGTAAAATCTCTGGGCATAGGCATTTTTATTTGTTCCCCCTCGTTTGGTTCTTTAGAGGTAATAGGTCACATCTTAGTTGTAAAATTCTAGAATAGCAGAATATGCAGATACTTTATGAAACTATCTGACTCAGCCCGTGACATGCCCTCCCTGATGTATTCACATTCTTTAAACTTCCTGGTTAATATATTAGAAAAAAATACACTAAACAAGAATATAATAGTGAAAAATATACTAGAGGGGAACGTTTAATGACTATAGCCCCAAACAAGTATATCTCCAGGTCAACCAACTCCAAGGGAAAAAACATCGACCAACTCCAAAGGAAAAATCAACTCCAAGTTGTAAAAAAAATAATGATGACTCTGTTAAAACATACTCCCATTAGCAGATGCATTGAAATCATCTTTAATTCAATTTCCCCCTTCCAGAGGAAGGGAAGGAAATAGGCTGTAAATCTTGTAATGCCCAGAATTTCTTATGGTATTTGTTTGAGTCCTGGACTACCTCCTGGTCTCTCACAACATAACTCCTCTGACCGAATCCAAACTAGAACACTACCAATACCGTCACCATGGAGCAACAGCAGCACATCAATGCCTGTTGGGCATCCAGGGTTTGGCAAATGATACCTTGATGCTGGACACTGAGTTTCTATAGAAAAGCTAGAAAAGCCTATTTTCTATATGTTTGGGGGCATAGAAACATTTATTTTTCACCTGGAGGAGGAAACCCCTTTGAAAGATGAAAATGCTAATGTCATCTTCCAAGATACATGGTATTTCCAGCAACCTTGGCCCTAATGGATAGTCGTTCATTTCTGATCCTTCCACCTATTCCTGCCCCTCCTATACCTGCTCCTACTAACCCACTCTCCCTCACTCTCCTACTCCTGTGGAGCCATGCTATCTAAAATGACCATCAGCAAAATGACTGAAATCATCTTTTTATCTTGGACAAGTCTTTCACAGCCCTTTCAATGCTGCTAAGTATTGTATATCCATTAATATATTTCAACTGTCGTGTCCTGTATTCAGCTTTTGGCTTTCCATAGAGAACAGAGCTTTTCTTTCTGTGTATTTTCTGTTGTATATTAGAATTCAGTGTGTAAGGTAAAAATTTTCTCTGAATTTTATGTTTTAAATTGTTTAGAATGTTATTTTTATTTTCCAGAGATTCATCCATATCATCTAATTGTCTATCAATAAATGTGCAATGAAATAGGCCTTGTTTTATCAATGTTCTACAAAAATTTTGCAATAAAAATCCGTATTATTATTTTTGATCATAATTGGTTTTGTTTTGGGTCCTTAAAATGTGTGACCAAGAGAGCTCTTTGCAGGTGTCTGTCATATAATTATATTTTCTTATTAGTGTAGAATAGTGGTTCTCAACCTTCCTAATGCCGCGACCCTTTAATACAGTTCCTCATGTTGTGGTGACTCCCAACCATAAAATTATTTTTGTTGCTACGTCATAACTGTAATTTTGCTACTGTTATGAATCATAATGTAAATATCTGATATGCAGGATGTATTTAGGCGACCCTGTGAAAGGGTTGTTCGACCCCCAAAGGGGTCGCGACCCACAGGTTGAGAACCGTTGGTGTAGAAATATTTTTCCTTCTGAATATTACTTTAATTTCCCTATTCTCACTCCAGTTTTAAATAAATTTGATGGACTAGTTATAAACACTAGATATTTCTTTTTTTACAAAAGAAATTATATTTCTGTTCATTTTCAGAGAGAGATCTTCAAGATGCTTTCCCTGTGGTGACTGTTTTCAGTAGAAATATCTCTTAGCAAATACCATGCAATTATGTTATCAGCAAAGCAGCTTGTCAGTACTGCAAGTAAACAAACCAATAGCAGGAAATTTGCAAGCTTAGAAAAGATCTACATATGTGGAGAGATGAGAATTCTATTCCATTTTCTTTTCAAAACAAACAAGTCTGATAGTAGACAAGAGACTTTAAAAGTTCTCTTTCACCCTGAGTGATAAGGAGAAAAGAAAGCAAGTGTCAGTCTGTCTTTGGGAAAATATTCTGCAAATATTTTATGCTTATATCACTTGAAAAAGAAAAAAAAATGGCATTGAACATATCTAGAATTAAATCTTGAATAAGATTTGCTTTAAATGTACAGTAAATCAGAAATAAATGTGTATAGGTCAAGAAGACTTAACCAATACATTGGTTTTACTTCTCTAAGTAAGGTAAATGATAAGAAACATTGAGTGACACCCCTCTATTGCAATAAAGGGCGCTCAAGCAACAGGCAATGAAATTTAAGTCTTGAGCTCAGATAAAGAATGAGGCTTATTTAGAACAAGCTTGCTTATTTACTTTATATGTTTTGATTCAATTTGACTCCAATGAATTCTAGAAAAAAAAAGTCCAAGACAAAGAGAGAAAAAAATTCAAGCAGCCATGTCAGAGTCTATAAAGGTTATAATTTTCTGAAACCCACCACATTCATCCTGGAGAGACGGCTACACTATTTGTGTATCCCTTTTTGGATCTGGGAAGAATAGAGGGAAGGTCATTAGAAACAAGCCTTTTCTTCCCTTATTGTCCAAAATTGTCCGACAAGGACCTTTTTATTCTATTTTAAATGTTTTTAATGCTAAATTCCACCGAGCCACATGGGTAGACAAGAGAAGACCAGGGTAAGATGGTTTAAAAATTCCACCTGCTCTGGAAGCCATTTTGCTCTAGTTAGTTTATGCAGGTCAAACTTATCTTAGTCTTTTTCATTTCTTTGCCTATCCAACATCTTCCTAACCACTAATAGTATCATGTTCCCAATATGTTCTTGGAAAATGATTTCTAAATTTTTAAGTGTCATACCACAATAGTGTGGCAACATAATATTTCAAAATATGAATTGAAGTCCCTCAGGTCATCGGTGGTTTTGTGCTGTCCCTTGAACCTCCCCCAGGCTACCAGAGCATTGTTTCAGGGGAGGAGGGATACACAAACAGAAAAGGAGGTGACTAAGAAAAGATTTTGATAGTTCAAATACTGATTCCCAAAGAGAACTTAATGCTGAATAAAATATTAACTCCCTGAAATAGATACATATCCCATTATCTGAAATAGATAAATTTCTTAGGATAGAGAGACCCACTATGGATATAGGTACAGAGTCATTGTGGATCCCTGAGAAAAAAAGGAACTCAGACCCTAATAGAACTCTCCAGACAGCTCGAAGGCATCTGAGAATGGAAGGGACTCATGCTCCCCTCTCCAGGGTAGTTTAAAGGAGACAGCAGGACTTGATGGAAGAAATAGCCTCAGGTGGGTACTGGCAGATAAACCTCAGTCAGAAAAGGCAGTGGAATACTCCCTGTGTCCCACTCTGATTGCAGGATTATCACAAATAAAACCAAACCAACACACAAAAAACCAGACCCAAAGACCTTGCAGTCAAGTATTAAAGCATTTACCTACATGATAGTTATTCTAATTATAGATTGGTTAAGTCTTTAACAATCTTCTATGTTCTCACATTGGTATTTTCTAACAAAACCAATAGGATTTTTAGTTATTTATTAGTTAACCATCAAATAAAAACTCAAGGAAAGCCATGCGTTTTTAATTCCATCATTTACACTATGAAAATGAGCACTGTGGAAAAGTTGCCTATTACCTTGTGTACCTTATAACCTTGTGTACAGAGTCCTTGACTGAAAGCACCTTTCAAGACCTGAAGTCATCCCCAGAACCTGACTTTCTTTTATTCTCAACCAGTGGGTCGCGACCATCAGAAAACACATATAGCATATCAGATATTTACATTACGATTCATATCAGTAGCAAAATTACAGTTATAAAGTAGCAAAGAAAATAATTTTATGGTTGGGGGTCACTACAACATGAGGAACTGTATTAAAGGGTTGCGGCATTAGGAAGGTTGAGAACCACTCAGGCAGAAATGCAACAATAGAAATGCATTTGCATTGCTTTCCCCATAGCGAAGGTGCTCCTTTGGGAAAGAGCAGAGAAATATGAAAGTTTAGTTCGTAGCTCAGGTGACCTTTCTATCCACTTGAGAACTGTCACTGGAAATCCAAAAAGGTTGAAGACACCATGCTTTTTCAGGCAATCATTTGGCACAGGGTATTACAATGAATGAGAAAGCAAACTCAGAGAGGTCAAGAAAGTCCCGTAAATCATAGAACTTGAAATAGTTGAACCAGAACTTAATTCCAATTTGATCTTGATCCCAAAGCTTATTTTATTCCAGAATCTTGGGTTCTAAACTAAAGCAAACTAATTAGTTCTGGAGGCTTAGTACACTTAATCATTCAGAGTCATCTTATTAAAGATTTTATTTTTAAAACTGAAGGATTTGGATAAAGTTATTATCTCTACTGCTGTGAAATTTGCACTAAAGTGTAGGCTGGCGAAATTATGGCTTGATTGAAGTCACAGAGCTAACAGCAGACTAAGGCAGCCACATGTTTGAATTAATTTTTTAGTGTTTCCTTCGAATTTACCTCTTAAACAATATAGTTGTTTCTCAAGTCTTCATAAATATTTATCAATTAAAAAATCTATGTTCTGGGTCTGGTACCACTATGTTATTATGAATTGTTGCACTAAATAGTAGACTTATTGTATAAAAAACAGAAGCTACACGTAGAGAGTGCAAAGTAGGCAACCAGAAGCCACCTGTATTCCTTACCTTTACTATCACTGTGACGGTAGCAATCCCAGGTGGCATTGTGCCGTAAATATCAAAGGCCTCCACTAGGAAAGTGATGCTTGCTTCCTGGTCTGGAAATGACTCATAGTCCAAACTCCTTAAAAGGGAAAGTTCTCCTGTAAATGGGTGCATTGCAAAAAGGTGCTTCACTTCTGGGCTTCTTATCCGATAAGACACATTTGCTCCAAGGTCAACATCCGTGGCCTGTAACAAGAAGAATGGTTATATCAGTGGCAGTGCCAGCCTAGAAAAATGAAAGACTGATGAAGTCATGTGTCAGTGCTTAGGGCAGCATAAGTTTATAGCTGACCAAAAGTCATGTTTCAGAGAAAAGCACGTTTGTTAAGTAATTTACCAGAAAGAGGGAGGAGGAGAGAAAGAGAGAGAAATAGAGACAGAGACATGAGATTTTTGTCCTTGTGGATTTTATTACTAAATGTATTTTACCTGAAAAAAAATCACTATTAAAAGAACCATACCACAGTAAAGAAATAAGTATTGTCACAGATTATTATTTCTTGCTGACCATATAACCTTGAAAAGGAATATTTTAAATAAAAATAAATGTATTGAGCCTTAACCAGTGTGGCGCAGTGGTTGGAGTGTTGGCCCACGGACTGAGGGGTCACAGGTTCTATTCCTGGTCAAGGACATGTGACTGGGTTGCAGGTTTGATCCCTGCCCTAGTCAGAGCACTTGCAGGAGACAACCATTCAATGTGTCTCTCTAACACCCATGTCTGTCTGTCTGTCTGTCTGTCTGTCTCTCTCTCTCTCTCTCTCTCTCTTTCTCTCTCTCTCTTTCTCTCTCTCTCTCTCCCACACACACACATACTCTCTCTCCCCTGTCTTTCTCCCTTCCATTTTCTCTGAAAATCAATGGAAAAAATATCCTTGCATGAGGATTAACCAAATAAATAAATAAATAAATTTATTGAGTGATTTCTATAAACACAATGGATTTTTAAAACACTAAAAGAAAACTGATAAATATAATAATTTCATTTCATCTCATCAGTATCCTATAATACATTTCTAGAGATCACTTGATTATAACTCCCTTCATTTAACTAATATTTATTGAGTTGTTATTATGTGCAAGTTACTATAGAGATGTACAAGATGAATCAAGGCAGTTTCTGCCCTCCAGGTTACTGTACAAAGAATTAAGACACAAATACCAAAATCGAAGGAAAAAAGTGATATGTCACTTAAAGGTGTTCAGAATTGGGAGTGATATCTTCTAGCTGAAAGGATGGTTTTTATGCAGGATTTGTAGGATGATTATTCTACTCAGCAGTACAGGTTTGCAAAGGCCACTCTGGTAGGGGACATGGAATGGAGCAAAAATGGCACTGGGAAGATGAGGGTTGGTTAGGCTCTGCATGTAGTAATGCAAAACCTCTTATGTGAACTTACAGTCTTGGCTCCCTTTAATCTGTTATGGACATAACAATGAGAAAGATTTTATTATTTCCCTGCCTAAAATCCTTCTTGCTTTCCATTCCATTTTGGATCATCTCCCAACTCCTTAACATGGTGAGATGGACATACACATTTTCCAGCCATTTATCCCCTAATTCACTTCTCTCCTCCAGGATCCTGAGCAGATTATTCCCACTGCCTTGAATAGCCATTCTTCTTCTTTGCTTAAATAAATCTCACTCTTCAGTTTGCCATTTAGAAAGCAACTTTCTCCAGGAAACATTCTCTTTAACCTAAAGATTAGGTTACGATCTGTGATCTCCTAACCCCCTCACTTTGAGGACCTCTATTTTAATGAGCAGTCTACTTGTCTACTTGCTACATGAGACCAAAAACTCAATGTACGCAGATAATCGTCTGGTTCATGTTTGAATCCTCAAAGTCTAACAGAGGAGTGGATATAAAATAAATGTCGAAATTATACTTCTTGAATGAATGAATGAATGAATGAGATTAATAGAAGAATACAGGAAGAAATAATGGCCCTCTCCGTGACCAGCATATGTCTCTTGTCAGTTATTAATGTTTATTGTCTAAATATTTATTTAGTTGAATTATGAAAGAAATACAAGTTATTTAAATCCATGCCAACAAAATTCATGTGTATTGCAGTCAAGGAAGGTCTATTTTTTTCCCCAAAACATACTTCATATACCACCTGTGTCAGTATTAAATGGGTAGTTTCCTAAAATGCAGATTTCTGAGCGAATTTAACCTACTGAATCAGAATGTCCAGAGTTTCTGGTAATGGTGCAGTTGAGAAATGAAAAGGGAGGCTTGGAGATGGAGACACTATTAAATAGGAGAGTTAAGACTTGTGGAAGAATGTCAGTTGTTTCCTGAAAATAAAATTAAAAATTACAAAATAATAAGTATAGCAATATCCTATGTCTGCAAAATATAGATAACTCTTTACATATGTATATATGTATATACATATATGCATTTATGCAAAAAATACATGCATATTTATTTTTACATATATATCTTTGATACTTGTGTGAGCACAAAGATAAATGTGACAGAATAAACATAAATATGAATACGGAGTACTTTGGAGGTACAAGGTGGGAGATTATTGACTTTTTATAGACTACTGTATTGTTCATCATTACAATAAATATATAACATTAATTTTTTAATTAAAAAAATCTATTTAGATTTTTTTATTTAATTTCTTACAAAGGCACATTTTCTCCCCTTATTTTTTGTTGTATCCCTACGAGTTGTTAGATTTTTTAAAAAATGTAGTGCTTGAGAGAGACTTATAATAAAACTAGAGGCCTGTTGCATGAAGAGATTTGTGCAATAGGCCTTCCTTTCCCCTGGCTGCTGGCACCGGTTTGCCTCTGGCACCTGGGGCCCAGGCCTTCGCTCTTGTTGAGTTCTGGCTGGAACCGGCCCCAGAAACGTCAGGCCTAGCTGCTCCACCGGCCCCAGGCCATCAGGCTTCGCTCCACAACTTGGATCCTACATATGCAAATTAACTGCCATTTTTGTTTGCGGTTAATTTGCATATCGTGCTGATTGGCCAATGGGAGGTGTAGTGAAGGTATGGTCAATTACCATGTTTATATATTATTAGATAGGATGTAGTCATTGTTTATCTGACATTAAAATTTTTAAAAATAAAATAAAAAATTTAACTGGATGTGTTATTTTTTGATTTGCTAAATCTGTCAACCCTACCCTAATAGCTAATCCTATAATGTGGAACTTATGAAATGAATGCTCCTCCCACACACCTACCTCTACTTGAAGGAAGGTGGTCCCAGCTGGCAGATTCTCTTCAACAACAACAGTATATGTTGAATTGGTGAACACAGGACTGTTATCATCAATATCCAACACCTTGATGGCCAGTGTTAGAGTTGAATGACGAGGGTGTACTGCTCCATCGGTTGCCACAACAAGAAGTTCATAGTAGTCCCTGACTTCCCTGTTAAGCTTCACTGTTGTGTAAATGCTCCCATTGGATGTGATACGAAAAAGATGATTGAAGTTACCCAAACTGTAGTACACTTGGCCATTTATTCCAGCATCAGGGTCAGTTGCCTAATTGAAATAAAAAACAAAGAAATTCAGATAGCATATTTTGTTAAGCTTTTTTCACATTGCATTTTGTTATGTTTTCCTGCTAGAAGAGAATAGTTAATGGATCATGAAATATTTCTAACCGAATATTCTTTTTTTCTAGGGAGAATATTAAAAAGATAATGAGAATGTAATGCAAGAGTCTAGAACATGAAAAGAAATATAATATAGTTTAATTGAGAGTCTTAATTCAGAATGAGCATAACTTAAAAATTAATGTCATTCACAATGGGGGGATGAGGTCATATATGTAATATCTTAATCAATAAAGAAATTAAAGATTGAAAAAAATAACAATATTATTTCAGAAAATTCTCACTACAAAAATAGTGAATTTTCCTCTATCATTTCTTTAATACATTTTGAATTCTAAAATAAGAAAATCACATTTAGTTCATAATTGCTTTACATAAGCTACTAAATGACAACTTAAATTCTATAGTTTTAAGAGTACTTTATATACTTATTTTCATCTGTATATGAAATTTCACATAAATATACACAAATATATATTACCTCATTTAATCCTCACAATGTTCTTATTGATAAATATAATTGGCCCCAATTCACAAATGAGAAAACTGTGTTTATGGAATTTAATTATCTTGCTTAGCATTACACAAGAAATAAATATCTCAGTGTCCCATGTTTAGTACAATGCCTCACATATAAAACTCCCTAAATATTTGTGAAATTAGTATTTGAATAAATAAACGTATGAAAATGAGATATAAAACTAAATCTGCTTCAAAATCCAAATGAGAGTAAAAGTATAGTGACTATCAAGAACCTACAAAGGGTTTTTCTTTAATATTTCGATGCAATCTCCAAATGATAATTGAGAATTGTTGATGTTATAATAACATATTAACTGAAAATTCCAAGTCATATAGAATCCCTTCATATCAAATAAAATGTGGAAATTTTGAAGGAATATAAATTATGACCTCTCACTATCAAATACTGTGTCATTTGTGTTAAATAGTTCTACATTATTTTTCTTCAGAGAAATTGAAGGAAATCTTAGAAGCCATACAATCCTATCTAATAAAAGAATAATATGCAAATTAACCATCACTCCATGACAAAGATGGCAGTGCCCATAGCGGCTGGGCAGGACGCTGGTGGTGTCACCCCGGCAATGTGAGCCCAGCAGGCAAGGGGAGCTGCAGGCAGCACCCAGCAGGACCTGCTGGGCGGTAGTGGCAACAACCCGCAAGCAGCACCCAGCAGGGCCTGCTGGGCAGTCACCACAGCAACCTGCAAGCAGGCAAGGGGGGCCCACAGGCAGCACCCAGCAGGGCCTGTTGGGCGGTGGCAGCAGCGACCCGTGAGCAGGCAAGCGGGGCCAGCAGGCAGCACCCAACAGGGCCTGCTGGGCTGTAGTGGCAGCAACCTGCAAGCAGCACCCAGCAGGGCCTGCTGGGCGGCAGTGGCAGAAACCTGCAAGCAGCACCCAGCAGGGTCTGCTTGCCCATCCCCATGGTGTGGAGCAGGCAGGCCCCTCAGAGAGCAGAGAACCATGGAGAGTGGGCCCAAGCCATCAGAAGCACATCATCTGAGGGCTCCCAAATTGGAGAGGGTGCAGGTCCGGCTGAGGGACCTCCCTGCTCGCCCTCCCCCCTGCACGCATTTCGTGCACCGGCCTCTAGTGTTATATAGTTGTGCCTCAAACTGTTGCTAAGGAAAATAAGACACGTGGCTGCATTATGAGCCAGGGACACAATAATCACTTAATATCCACAATACCCCTCCTCCCTCAAAGAAACCTCCTACAAAACTTTATTTTTTTCTCTAAAATCACTGCTTAAGAAACTAGAAAAATATAACCTAGTGATATAAATAGGTCTTATTTCATAATACCAATACTCTTGAAAATTTCAGTGACTTTTACTGTATGTGGGAATTCTTGATTACCAAATCAATCACTTATGTAATCAATAATTTAAATGATTCTTGTTCAAGTTATGGTTTTATTCAGCCACACATCAGAAGATTTGTTATGACAGAATGATTTAATTTGAATAGCATGCTATGTATGTGTGTGTTGGGGGAGTGTTGTGTATGCATTGTCCTATATACTGTATGTCCAGCTGCTTAATTTATATCTCCAATAAAGATACCTCAAATATGTCTGTATTATTTTTTATCACTCTCATTCCAAATTTAGCAGCTTCTACAAGTCTATTATCTTATAGTTCTGTAGATCTGAAGTTCAACATGGGTCTCACCACTCAAGGTATAGGTAGGGCTATGCTTCTTTCTGGAGGCTTTAGAGAAAAATCACCTTCGTTGCTCACTCAAGTTGTTGATATAATGTAGGTCCTTGGGATTGTCAGATTGATATCCCCACGTCTATTTTGGTTGCCATGTAGGACATCCCCAGCTTCCAGAGGCCACCCCTTGTCCTTGGCTCATGGCACATTCCCTCCATCTTCAAAACCAACAATGGTGAGTCAAGTCCCTCTCACACTTTTTGAATCTCTCCTCTTTCTTCTTTCATTCCATCTCATACAATGTATGAAGCTCAGCTACAGGCTGTGAGATGGATGGTGTATTAAATAACAAGGTCCAAGCTATAATGGCATTTACAGAAAAATCCCTATCTATCCATAATATGCTTCTACCGGTGTAAAATATCTCAAGCCTAATCATACTGGGCCCAGCCACCATCCATTGTGGCTTAGATTGCTAAATTACTTCTTAATTATTTTCTTTCCATTATTTCTCTTCAGATATTTTTTTTATAAAAGATAAAAGTAATGACACCAGTTCTCTGCTTAACTTCCTTCAATGATTTCCATTGCCTTGGGAAATATTTAAACCTTTAACATAGCCAGGAGGTTCCCCATTACATGCTGATTTCACCATGTTCTAGAACATTGCAAACCTCTCTAACCTCAAAACTTCTCCAGAAGCCCGTGCCTGGAGGCGTGTGCTATTATTCACCAGGCTAACACCCACTCGTCTTTCAAGTGTCAATCTAACATCACTTCCTCAAAGCAGTTCTTTCTGACTTCTGAAGTAGAAATTAGAACCTCCTGTTACACATGTCAGTAGCTTTATATGCCTGTCATCTATGCCACTTTTATTTATCAGTGTGATTAGTTGTTTAATATTTGTCAACCTTTTCACAATGTAAGCCATTAAGGTATGGTCTGGGATATTTGCTTTTCTTTTTTTCACTAAATGCTCAGTGCCTACTATAGTTTCTGACACAGAGTAGGCATACATTCAATATTTAAGTGCACAAATGAATTATACATATTAGCATATAAATGAATGTATTAACACTGCTATCGAACACTTAAAATTATTTTATTCATTATATACCTGCTGTTTGGTTTTATTTTAGTTTACATTTCTTGCTTTATCATTCTGTGTGATTTTAATCAAGAATTTCAGAGCAAACACTGGAATTATTAGAATTGCACCTGGGACTCTGATAATCTTAGCATTACTACTGATTACTGGTCTAAATTGAAAAATAGCATTATTAAACATAGTGATATTTTGTCATGATCAAAACAAGGGTGTAATCAAAACAAGGAAATATCTGTGTATTTTCAATATTTTATAGAATGACAACTAGGGACTATGCAGGTTAAGATGGTGAATGCTCAAATACATAAAGTTTAGAAATTAAGAATAAAGGGAATTTAAAATGTCTCCTTACTTCAGAACTTCTCAAGTGCCATCAATATTTTAATGAACAAGGCAGTGTTCTCAAGGGGAATACCATATGCACCAGATTTAGAAATTCTAGGTATAGAAATATAGCCTCCTTTCAACATGTTGATCAACCTACAGGAAGAAACCCAAATCTAAACTTTTATATATGATTTAATTCCAACCTACACTTTCAGCATTTCATACTATTTACTCTGCTGTATAAACTCTCTGCCTCTGCTCAAGTCTAATCAGTTTTCCACATTTCCCTAGGACTCAGCATATACTTCTTGACATTTTTTTTTCAGACCTCGCTATGATGATTCCTTACTCACCTATGAAATTCTAATCATGCATCCATTCTTCAAATCCCAATTTCACTTCTTCTAGAAAAATTTCTAGCAATTAGAGATCATTTTATTAATCAGAATTGTACACTTGACAAATGCTTTCTTGTATTTGTTTTAGTCTACCATATGTCTTTTTAGAATAACATTTCAAAACTTTTCATATATTAAAATTATCAAAGATATAGGTATCTCTAATTTACAATGGGGTGATTTGTTGAGATAAAATATCCAAACACATATTTAAAAGATGGATTGGAAATAAATGTTAGATGGGGCATCCTCATCAATAGGGTTTCATAATTTTAAGTCAGCTGAAATGGCATAACATGTTCAAAGTCAAGTGCACTAACACACAACTACACACGTACATTTTGATCTGATTTCCCACAACTTAATTCACTGAATGCCACGTGTCCACAAATAGAACTATATTTAGTCCTCATGGAATAAATAACAGTAATATTTTGTTGAAAAATACTCTAAAATTTCAAGGAAATGCAGACATACATCTAGAAGAGACAATGAAACCAGAATGTTTGCGAAAAGCAGGGCCATTCCTTCCTTTTCTCTTAATTAAGGAGCATAAACAGGGTCATGCAAGTTAGGTGACATGAACCGGCTAAGTAAGCTAATTTCATTTCTTTCCTATTACAGATGAGTATGTATATATTAGGCAAGATAATCAAACATAAAATCCCTTATCATCAGCAGTACTGTCAAGAAGTTTGCATTGATGTTTAGTATCTAGCCAAGGAGCTCAGTGTGTGAAACCATTCATCTTCCTAGAAATCAATTAAAAGTTAATTAAGACTGTTAATAAGAAAAATCACACATCTCTTCCTCCCTTGTACTACATCAAAGCAATAAACAGTAATAGCTTCAACTTTATAATCATCTGTCCATGGTTAACACATTTTGTAATATACACCTTACTGTGGGGCC